TTATTGTTGTGCAACCATCGGCACCATCCATCTCCAGAACTCTTTTCAAGTTATAAAACTGAAACTCTGTATCCATTAAACAGCAACTTCCTGTTATCCCTTCCCCCAGCCCCTGGCAATCACCATTCTACTTCTGTCTCTGTGATTTTGACTACTCTAAGTACCTCATCTAAGTGGGATCATACAGTCTTTGTCTTTTAGTGATTGGCTTATATCACCTAGTATAATGTCCTCAAGATTCATCCACGTTGTAGCATGTATCAAATTTCCTTCCTTTCCAAGGCTGAATAATATTCCATTACATGTATATGCCACAGTTTGTTTATCTATTGATGGACCCTTGGGTTGCTTCCACATTTTAGATACTGTAAATAATGCTGCTATGAACCTGAATGTACGAATATTTCATTGAGACCTTGCTTCCAATTCTACTGAGTATACACTCAGAAGTGGAATTGCTGGATCATATGGTAATTCTACTTTTAATTTTTTCAAGAACTGGCATACCATTTTCTACAGAGGCTGTACCATTTCACATTCCTACCAAGAGTGGAAAGCCTTCCCCTGAAAGCTGCAAGCCTTCAAAAGACTGCAGAGTTTCAAAATAGTTGAATAGACAGATTCTGTCACTGCAATTGTGTCTCAGTGATGAGACAAATTTATGGTGCTTCCTAATCTGTAATCTTTCCAGAATCCTCCTATCCCATTGCTTTTTAACATGTACTGTTGTTGGCAGCAATCTGCTTTCCTTCCAATTGTCATCTATCTTCTCTATCTGGTAGCTTACATATATTTTTTCTTTTCATACTTAATGTATAAAATATCAATTCAATTTCTAGGTCTGGATTTATTTTCCTCAGTGCTGCATGTGCATTTTAAATCTGCAAAGTCAAGTATTTCTTTAATTCTGGACAATATTTTTTGCCATCCTTCCTTTGAATATCGCTTTTCTCTCATTCTCTCTACCCTCTTTTCCTAAAGCTCCAGTTGGATATATCGTATCCTCCTTGTCTCTCAACTGCTCTTCTATGTTTTTAAATCTGTTTTTCTCTCTGTACTATGTTCTACATCAATTCCTTCGAACTGTCTTTTAATGTACTAATTCTCTATCTGTCTGTTTTTGTTTAGTATTTTCAGGAGGTGTATTTCCTTTCTTTACCACTTTAGCATCCTCAGTACAATCATTTTAAACTAATGTTCAGGTGCTGCATTGTTTTTGTCTTTAGGTAAACTCATCTACTAAGTGTAGATTTTGTTGGCATTTGTATTCCTTTTATGTGTGGAATTTTTATTTGAAGGTTCGTCTTCACTGGCAGTACAGTCATGTGACACATAACAACATTTCAATCAATGATGGACCCCATATATATGATGGTGGTCTCATAAGATTATAATGGAGCTAAAAAATTCCTATTTCCTTGTGACATCATAGCCATCATAATGACATAGTGCAATGCATTACTCACATGTTTGTGGTGATGCTGGTGTAAATAAACCTACTGTATTGCCAGCTGTATAAAAGTAGAGCACATACAGTTCTGTACAGCACATAATACTTGATAATGATAATAAATGACTATATTGCTGGTTTATGCGTTTACTACACTATACTTTTTATCATTATTTTAGAGTTTACTCTTTCTACTCATAAAAAAACTTTACTGTAAAACATTATGCTGTGTTACACTCTCAGTAGCCTCATATATAGAATTACTGCATCTCTTGATTGCACCATTTTCTCTTGTTCTTGATTTAATATCATGTTGTTTTGTTCAGCATGGCCCCTAAGCATGCAAATCCACTGCTAACATTGCCAGTAAGAGGCCACATCAAGTGATTGGCCTGGAAATGAAAGTGAAAGTGATTAATGACTATGAAGGTGGAAGATCAGTGATGGTTATTGCTTGTCAGTCAGGCATGTCCCATTCCACAATAGCTATGATCTTGAAGAACAAGAACAAAGTGATGGAAGCTGTTCAAGGATCTGCTTCCTTGAAGGCAATGAGACTAACAAAATCCAAGAAGGGCCTATATCAAGCATGGAGAAACTTCTAATGGTCTGGAATGAAGACTAGACACAGAAGCATATCCCTCTCAACACCACAGTGATCATGGCCAAAGCAAGAAGTTTGTTATGTTGAAAGAAAAGGCTAAGACCTGACCATGATGCAAAATTTGCTGCTAGCTCTGGGTAGTTTTAATGATTCAAGAATCGTTACTCATTACGTGATGTGAAAGTGAGGGGTGAGTCTGTGAGTGCTGATGTGAAAGGAGCTGAAGAATTTTTAGAAACTCTAGATAAGCTGATTGTGGAGAAAAATTACTTGCCAGAGTAAATATTCAAGATAAATGAAACCTCCCTATTCTAGAATTGCATGCCTGAAAGGACTTTCATCCATAAGGAGGCCAAGTCAATGCCAGGTTTCAAGGCCTTTATGAACAGGATAATAGTCTTGCTTGGGGACAATGTTGCAGGCTACAAATTGAAACTCTTTATGATCTGGCACGGTGAAAACCCCAGGGTCTTCAGGCATATCAAAAAGCACACACTGCCAGTGTACTACAAGAGCAATAAGAAGTGATGGATCCAGCCCTCCTGAATTTCTATGCAATGAAATGGAGAAGTACTATTTGGAGAATAACATACCTTTCAAGATTTTGCTTATTGTTGATAATGCTGCTGGACATCCTCCTTTTACTGATGATCTTCATCCCAATAGCAAAGCAGTGTTTCTCCTTCCAAACACCACCTCTTTGATCCAACCAATGGATCAAGGAGTTATAGCAGCTTTTAAGGCCTACTACCTGAGGAGTACCTTTGCCCAGTCTATTGCTGCAACTGAGTAAGACGCAAGGATACTGAAAAAATTCTGGAAAGATGACAACATCTATGGCTCCATAAAAAACCTTGCTTGTGCTTGGAGGGATGTCACCAAGGAGTGTATGAATGGCGTCTGGAAGAAGACACTCAAGAGTTTCGTCCAAGATGTCAGAGGATTTGCCAAATATGAGAAGGTTGCAAAAATCAACAAAGTTGTGGCTGAGATTGCAAACAGCTTTAACTTGGGTGTGGATGAGGATGGCATTGAGGAGCTCCTAGAGTTGGTTCTTGAGGAATTGACTAATGAGGAGTTGTTTGAACTTGAACAGAAATGCATAGCTGAATAAGGAGAAAAAGAAGAACCTCCAAGAGAATTCACAGTGAAGAGTTTAGCAGACCTCAACGAGCTCCTTAAAAAGTTTGAAAACATCATATATTCAACAACGGGTTAATTTCCAAAATATATAAAGAACTCATACAACTAAACAACAGCAACAAAACAACCCAATCAAAAGATGAGCAGAGGATATGAACATACATTTTTCCAAAGAAGATATACAGATGGTCAACAGGCACGTGAAAAGATGTTCAACATCTCTAATTATTAGGGAAATGCAAATAAAACCTACAAGGAGATATCACCTCACACCCGTCAGAATGGCTATAATTAACAAGACAAAAAATAACGAATGTTGGAGAGGATGTGGAGAAAAGGGAACCCTCATGCACTGCTGGTGGGAATGCAAACTGGTGCAACCACTGCAGAAAATAGTATGGAGATTCCTCAAAAAATTAAGAATAGAAATACCATACAATGTAGCTATCCACTACTGAGTATTTATCCAAAGAACATGAATTCAACAATAAAAAGAGATTTTTGCACCCGTAGGTTCATGGCAGCCTTGTTCACAATAGCCAAGACGGGTGGCACCATAGCCAAGCAACACAAATGCCCATCAACTGATGAGTGGATAAAGAAGATGTGGTATATACACAATGGAATACTACTCAGCCATAAAAAAGACAAAATCGTCCCATTTGCAACAACATGGATGGACTGTGAGGGTATTATGTTAAGAGAATTAAGCCAGACAGAGAAAGACAAACACCATATGATTTCGCTCATATGTCGAAAATAAACACATGGACAAAGAGAACATATCAGTGGTTATCAGAGGGGAAAGGGCTTACGGGGTGGGCAAAGCAGGTAAAGGGGCATACATATATGGCAATGGATAAAAACTAGACTGTTGGTGGTGAACATGATGCAGTCTATGCAGAAACTGATATTTAATAATATACACCTAAAATTATACGATGTTATAAATCAATATGAACAATATGACCTCAACAAAATTAAAACAAGTTTGAAAACACAGACCCCAAGAGGGAAAGGGTTTCCTTAATAGAGATCAATGTTCATTGTGCATTATCTGCTTCAAGCAAATCTATGATGAGAGAAAGAAACAAACCAAGCAAACCACGATGGACATATTTCTGAAAAGAGTGACCCCCCCTCAGGAAGAGCCTCAGGCAGGTCCTTCAGGAGGTGTTCCAGAAGAAGGCATTGTGATCATAGGAGACGACGGCTCCATGCGTGCTATTGTCGCTGAAGAACTTCCAGGGGGACAAGATGTGGCAGTGGAGGATGTGATATTGATGATGCCTGACCCTCTGTAGGCCCAGGGTAATGTGCGTGTTTGTGTCTTAGTTTTTAACAAAAAAGTTTAAACAGTAAAAAAAAACAAAATTAAAAATAGAAAAAACTTATAGAATAAGAATACAAAGAAAGTATTTTTGTACAGCTGTCGAATGCGTTTGTGTTTTAAGCTGTGTTTTTACAAAAAAGTCAAAAAGCTAAAAAAATTAAAACATAAAGTGAAAAAGTTACAGTAAGCTACGGTTAATTTATTATTGAAGAAAGAAAAGTGTTTCTTAATAAATTGGTTGTAGCCTAAGTGTGTAGTGTTTATAAGTGTTTATAAAGTCTACAGTAGGGGACAGTAATGTTCTAAGCCTTCACATTTACTCGCCACTCACTCACTGACTCGCTCAGAGCAACTTTCGGTCCTGCAAGCTCCATTCATGGTAAGTGCCTTATACAGGTGTACCATTTTTTATCTTTTATATTGTATTTTTTTCTGTACCTTTTCTATGTTTAGATATGTTAGGATACACAAATACCATTGTGTACAATTGCCTACAGTATTCAGTACAGTAACCTGCTTACAGGTCTGTAGCCTGGGAGCCATAGGCCATACCACGTAGCCCAGGAGTGTAGTGGGCTATACCACCCAGGTTTGCGTAAGCGCACTCTCCTGTTCGCACAATGATGAAATCGCCTAAGGACATGTTTCTCAGAAGGTATCTCCGGCGTTGAGCAGCACATGACTATAGTATTGTCTTTTTTCTTCTCTTTTGGAAACCAACTAGAGCTGTCTACCAATTTTGTGGCTGCCTCAGCACCCAGAAATCAGATTCAGGCCTACTATTGGATATTCAGGGAATCTCTGCCGGAAACTATGGAAAATATACATATTCAATCCCCACTCTAGTAAACAGCTCAACTCCCAGCATTGAGGCTCTACTTGTCCCTCCGGTTTACCAATCACATAGCTTTCTAGTAGCCTGAGATAATGGTAGCAAATAGGTCTCTTTTACAGGTGAGGTCAACCCATCCAAACCTCTAATTTCAAGAAGTAAATCAGGCTTCAGTCTTATATCCCTTAGCCTTACATCAGGCAATTTTACTTCCCGTTACCCCACAGGCATCAACATCTCCAGTGTCCTCCGCCAGTTTCCAGACCTCTAGCCCCCAAGGTCCCCAGGCCAGTGTCTCTCAATTTCAGCCCGCCTTTTCACTATATAATCTATATTCTTCTTCTTGTCCATGAAAATGTCTATTTTATTTTTATTTTAAATGGCATCTATGTTTTTAAAAAATTTTTTCTCTTTTAGTAATCTATTATTTTTATACGTTTGGGACATTTGGAGTGTCTAAAATTGTGACTTTACAAAGTCATCTCCACTGGAAGTATGAATTTTATCTTTAATGCTCTGTCTTAATTCATTAAGTAACACTAAAGATAGTACAAGTAAATCTTAAAGCAAAAGATAAAAGATGAAGGTCATGCAAGCAGCAGAAAGCCCCACATCTCACCTATTTTTGTTCCATTTCTGCTCTTTCTCTTGTAACAGCTGAAGTAGAAAGAATTGCATAGCATTCTTTTCGTTAATTGTAGAATTACATAATTTGCATGTCCTTCTACATGCCTAGGAGAGTCCAATGACATAATGAGTCCACATCCACCCGGCTCTCCCTCAGGGAAACATTCACTTTGGTGCTAAGTACTTTGTTACATTGCAAATGCTGTTAATCCTTATACTGTATTTAGAGATTTTCCATTTCTAAGTCTTTCCTGTTACAAATGATATAAATGGAGTAATGAAAATGGCAGAGACTAAGTTCTTTAGGTACTGACAGATGAATTTTCTCAATGTCAGACATGCCGAATATTCAGATTTCTTCTCTTTTTCTTCTAAACTCAATGGAAAGCTAGTAGTATACATTTTTCGCTCAGTATGAAAATGAGTTTCCATTTTTTTTCTATTTTTTCAAGCAATATACGAATGAGATTTTTAAAAATCAAATAGTAAAAAAGCTTATAGAATGAGAAGAAGTTTCTCTCCCAGATTTTTTTCAGTATCAACATATATAGATTAACCTTTCTAATAGCTGCAGAGCATTCTGTTTTAAGGGTGTACTGTAATTTATTTAATCTGTCTCTTATTTATAGGAATTTAGGTTATTTCTAGACTTTCGCTATTACAAACCATTAAGCCATGAATATCCTTGTAGATACAGTTTTGCTCACATATGCAAATTTATTGAAAAACGCTGAGCCAAACTGTCCTCTGTTGAGATTAACATTGAAATAAATCTTTAAAAACAAATGCATTATTCTCCTAAACTGACAACACTCAAAATACAGCACTGTTGCTTAAATCTACAAACAATTCTATATCTTTCAAGTTTGTAGCCCACCATATGTTTGCACGTGGGCAATTTGTAATTGATAGTTAAGTACTTTGCAAACAACTTATTTTATTTAGAAAAATAAAATATTGGCCAAACATACACCTCTTAATTATAGACTTTTGGGAAATGATTAGAATTAGGATTCATCCTAAAAATATATTTGCCCCAGAGTTTTGGTACTTGGCCAATCCCTGGCCTCATTGTCCATTTTTATGTTTATATATTTTAGAACTTCCAATATATTCCGCAGACTAAGAGAGTTACTTGATGACAATGTTTTTCCCTTTTGAGAAGGCTCAGACTGGTTGTCTTACCCACAACCCTCTTCGAGGGATCCCTTCCCCACATAATCCCTCTCCTCCTGGCCTCAGCTGTTTTCATGGAGGATGGGCACTGATCTCCAGCCTGCGTGAGGTGAGCCAATGGCCTTTGAAGACTCCTGAATCAGCACCTCCACCAACAGCAGTGTCCCTGATCAGGTCCTCACTCAGGAAGCCCAAATGCAGGACTCTCAAAAAGGGAGTCATTAAAAGTGTCAGGATCTCTGAAACAAAGAGGGTAGATAAGTCTCCACGCCCCTGGAGGTGGGAGAACAGATGCCTTCTGCTAAGGGAGAGTCTCAGGTCATGAGGCTGCTGGGGCTATGACCACTTCTGAAGAACGTTTCTGTCCCTGTGGCCTGGCTGAGCAGCTAAGGCTGTGTCCTATTCTTCCTTAATGCTCTCGGTAAACAAAGTAACTTAAGCATAACATGTTCCTTGCAACCTGAAAGGAGCTGACTCAATATTCTTAGCAGATAGTTAAAGAAGAACACATTTCATCATTCAACAAATGGCAATGGAGTGCCTGGGATGTGCAAGGTGTTGGGGACCCATCAGCCCCTGTCGTGTAGTGGGTAAGTGCCCACGTTCTGCTTGGGCGGCCAGGGCTGATCAAGATAGATAAGGTCTCTATTATCACGGAACTTACAGTCTTGTGAAGGAGGGCAGGAAACAAAAGGGTAAGAAAGATAGCAGATAGTGCTGAGTGTTATGCAAAGAAGTAGAAAGTGGTGATAGGACAGTAACTGGGTAACTACTTGGGACTGGGGAATCAGGTAAATCTCTGTGAAGAGTCCCCACCTAAGCTGAGACTAAAATGACAAGAGCAATCCATTTGAGAACTAAGGGGAGAAAGACCAACTAAGAGAAAAGCCCTAAGGCAGTAATGTGTGTATCAGAGAAACAGAATGACAGCGTGGTAAGGGAGAAGCTTCTATGACAGGAGGCTCGAGAGGCAGGCTGGGACTAGGTCATGTAGGGCTTCTCATGCCCCAGTAAGGATATTCTAACTTGTTGAGAAGCTGTGGGAAGATTATCAGCAGGGGCTGATACGGTGTGGTTGGCGTTTTTAAATCTCTCTCCCGAGTGCATCGGTAAGGGGCAGGGGCTGGTGACAGTGAAAGCAGGTAGACCAGTTATGAAGCTACCACAGCAGTCCAGTGCAGAGTGATGGCATCTTAGGGTAGAGTGGGTGCCGTGTAGGTAGGGAAACATTTGGAATCTAGGATATGCTTCCCAGGGAGAATCCTTAAGACCTACAGTATTCAGTACAGTAACCTGCCTACAAGTCTATAGCCTAGGAGCAATAGGCCATACCGCATAGCCTCGGAGTGTAGTGGGCTACACCATCCAAGTTTGTGTAAGTGCACTCTGCTGTTCGCACAATGACGAAATCGCCTAAGGACACATTTCTCAGAAGGTATCTCCGTCGTTGGTGGATTATTTAAGGGAGGATGAGTCATGAATGAAAAGAAGTTGAGGGGAAATGCACATTAAACTCTAAATATTCCCAGACACTTTAAACTGAAGAATGTCACTTTCCTTTTCACTGAATCACTAGGTCCCATTGAGAAACAGGTAGAAAATGCGCTGCACCCGCTATCGCACAGTATTCTCCCAGGCTTGGCTTTCCGAATCACCAAGGAAAGGTTCGATTGTGTTGAGTGTGCTTTAGTTTATGAAGCACTTTATTATATGCCAGGTATCTGGAAATTTCTTTTCCACATACCTTAAATATCCCATCCTTCCAATAGGGTAGAAGTGAGAGTGGTGAAGACAGAGTTGGTTCCTGAAAGTCTAAGAGAAATCCAGAGGCATTTTCATAATTAAGATAACAGGAGTTCCTGGAACAGCCTCTACTTTCCCACATTGTAATTAATTGTGTGTAACTTGATTGTGTGTGGCCTCTTCTCCCATGCCCTGTGAGAAGTATGTGAAGACAGGCCTAAGTGCATTTTGTTTACCACATTTATATGTATTTGGTGGCGCTAAATGAGTGAGCCAATCAATGAATAAATGAACGAATCTTCAAGATCTGGCACCTGGTTGGCTTTTCCTTTGAACAGCATAGGTTCTCTAACCTCAACCTGTCTTCCTGGTTAGTCTAAGACTGGCTTTTTGCCCTGAATTTCTTTTTTAGGACATTGGTTCTTCATCTGGGTTTCTGCATATTTCGTCCCTAATCTGAGCCTCCCCTTTATTTAGTTACTCTACTTTTTTCTGCCTACACAGCATGTTTGTGAAAATTATATGTTAAGATAGGAGAAGGTTTGCTCTCAGCAAGTTTTCAGGGTAGACACTCTAGACTCTATTGTCGCTAGTATAATGGGATGGGGCAATGCACCACTCCGCCCGTGAGGCTGTGCAAGGCTCCACAAAGTCTCCTTTCAGTTTCAAAGTTGATCTGAAGCCATTACATTCTGTCTATTTGGGGACATAGATATCATGTTTAAAAATGCTTTTTGCAGAGCAATTCAGAGAAGAGTACAATGTATCATTTAAGTACTAAATATTGACTATTTCTACAATGAAAAAGTACAGAGAGTTCCATTTATGTTTATCCTTTTATTGCAAATTGCCACAACCTGGTCAAAAAAATTCTTTCTGTGGTAGCAGGACATCCGCCAGCAAATGAGTTTGTTGAAAGGGCCACTGGTACCAAATTCAGCACCGTGGGCCAACCCTGACCACAGCAGAGTGGTGTGAAGAGGTCTGACAGCCGCGTGGTCACCACCCAGGCTGGAGAGGAAGGCAGCATGAGGTGTTAATGGAAAAATCCAACTTCCTTCTCTTCCAAAGATGATGAGCAAAACCAAAATGGAGATTTCCCTGGTAAGGTTTAAAAGACAACTTTCATTTTTCAGAACAAAAATCTTTACTAGGCTTTTGCATCTGTGTCTTTTTATGTATTTCTTTCTGTATGATAAGTGCCTCTTAAAAAGTTCATGTTTGCTTAGTAATGATTACATGTTCTATTGTTTTATGTGAGGGGTTTAGCGTTAGTTTCCTAGGGCTGCCATACAAGGTACCACACACAGAGTGGCTTACACAACAGAAATTTGTTGTCTCACAGTTCTGGAGGCTAGAAGTCCAAGCTCAAGGTATTGCCAAGGTTGATTCCTTCTGAGGGCTGTGAAAAAAAGATCTGTTTCACGTTCTTGCACAGTTTCTGCTGGTTCACTGGCAATCGTTGGCATTGCTTGGGTTGCAGAAGCATCACCCTGATCTCTGCCTTCATCTTCACGTGGCATTTTCCCTGTGTGCCTGTCTCTGTGTCCAAATTTCCCCTATTTATAAGGACACCAGTCATATCGGATTAGGGCCCACCCTAGTGACCTCATCTTAACTAAGAACATCTGCAACGGTCCTATTTCCAAATAAGGCCACATTCAGAGGTCCTGGGGATTAAGTCTTCAACATAAGAATTTTGGTGAGATACAGTTCAACCCCAACAGTCATTAAATCCCGCACTGCACCATTCTGAAGTTCTAGGTCCGTCTCATGACCCCTCATGTCAGGCGTAGGGACTTAAACTTAGTAAACATTCAATAAATCATGGTGGAATGCCTTAGAATTGTGGAACAAAATCCGCTCAACAGATTCCTGTGACCTAGAGCCAAAAAGCACTATGAGAGGGGTACCATGAGGAGTATTTGTTACAACTGCACTTCCTTTATGAAGCCAAGGCCTTGTATTTGCCCAAATCTTGGTTGATTATAAAGTTCTTGGATTCCAAATAAGTCTTCATTTTCTAATGGAAATATAGAAGGACCAAATATCTCCAAAGGGAAATGTGGAAAGGAAAAGGAGCAGATCACATTCAGCAGAGGAAATCTTCTGGAGATTGTGGGGACCTAAGATATCTCTACTCCCTACCAGCTTTAGCTTGATACAAAATAGACCCAAGAAATTGAAAGTTAGATGAAATTAAAAGGAAAATTATAACAAGCAAAAAAGAAAAAGCAACCAACCAAACAAAATCAGCTTTCTTAGTAGGTGAACACTAGGGATGTCTAGTAAGAATCGAGTGGAAACGATACGTTGGGTTAAAGTCAAGGAGCTGTCTCTTAACCACTCTTCCCACATCAGGGAGGCCGGTGCTGCTGAGCAGCCTCTGCTAAGATGGAGATTGCAGACTTGCTTCTGCCAGGTCAGCAACAGAAAGAAACTCTGAGAGCCTGGCCACTGGGCCTCATTATGATTCTCATGGGCCCTAGGTACTTCATCTTTGATCTAAAGGCAAATATTAATTTTGACCTAAGTGTCATTGTTTTCTTCTGATTTTAAAAACAATTAAAACATTTTTGTGGGTCCCTAAAAGTATTTTGAGCCGTAGGTGCTATGCCCAATGTGCCTAATGAATAAGTCAACCCTGCCTGGGCAGACCTCTGGAAGGCAGGCGTTGGACCTCATTCCAGGTGTATGATTTACATGTGGCAGAAAATAGAAGAATGCCCATGGTCTCTCATACCCTCTTGATGAGGCAAGCAGTGAAGACACAGGTGGAGCCTATTTCCTACGTATGAGGCAAAGTAACCCCTCCCACTAGAGGGTAAGGCGTGGTGCATGCCCTGTACTCCACCCAATTCCATTAGACTAGGAGAGAGGCTCCATTCTCCTCCTCTCCTGTGGGCTTCAGTCCTCATCCTCCTTCCTCCTGGTCTGCTCTCTACACTCCTACTCTCTCCACGTATAAGTCAAGCAAAGAAGCAGCAGAGGCAGCCTGGGCGGAGTCAAGGATTTCAGTAGCAGGAGAAGAGGGGAAGGAAGGATGTAGAGAGAAGTTCTCCTGGGGTCCTTCAGAAGACAGTCCTAGTTGGGGGAAGGAAAGTGAAAGGGGGCAGGAATCACATTTGTGAAGGGAGTTTAATCTGTTCCAAGCCTTTGGCTACACATTTTCTGTTCGTTATCGTGTTTAACTCTACAAACAGTACTGCCCAGAGCATCGTCATTGTCTCTTACACATGAAGGAAAGGGGGCCGTGTAGTGGCAGAGTCTAGATTTGAGGTTAGGCTTTTTGAGCTTTCGTTCTGAGATGCGGGATTTTGTGCTGTCCAGATTTGTCTGCCAGTTCAGTTCAAGGAAATTTATAAGGGAGGCAGGAGAGCACAAGGAGGAGGGGGAATTTAAAAAAAAAAAAAAATTTCCGTGCACCGTCTTGTGAGCCACTGCCTTTCAGCAGGAACTCCTTGCCCAAGTCAGGCAGCATTCAGTAGACACTACACATGCTTCTTGCCTCACAAGACGTGATGCTTCCTCTTTCCCCAGCATCCCTGGGATGCTTTTAACTTATCAGCCCGATTCAGTTATACTGATATTTCTGCAGGTATAGTTAACTGCCACCCAGTAAATTATGATGCTTTATATTATTTTGACTTAAAAGATTTTCCTTACGATGATTAACTGACAGATCTAGCCTCTAAAATAGGTATTAATATACAAATATAATATATAATATTGTGACATAATAAGAAATATAAATTTGGTCTTCTTCCCATTTTTGGCACAAAAACTCTTAAAACCCTTGAAGTATCCTGAGCAGAAGCACAATGGAAGCATCTTTTGTCATAATAGTTAGCCTTTTCTTCTCAATTCCTGAAATCATTTTGGAGCATAAAGGTAAAAGGACTGTCTTGTTAATTGTAACAAGCCCCTTTCAATCACATCTGAGTTTATGTTAATGAGGTAACTTTTGGAAAGCCCCTGAGAATGGGGGCTGGTTGCCAGGGGAACAAACATTGATTAGAGGATTGTAATTTAGCCCCACCCCTTGACCTTTAGGAAAGGGAGAGGGGGGTCAGAGGTTGAATCAATCAAACCATGGCCAATGATTGAATCAATCATGCCTGTCTAATGAAGCCTCCATAAAACCCAAAAAGATGGTGTGGAGAGTTTCCTGGTGGTGAACACGTGCAGGTGCTGGGACAGTGGTGCCCTTGGAGAGAGCTTGGGAGCTCCACGCCCCTTCCCGTAGACATTGCCCCGTGCATCTCTTCCATCTGGCTGTTCCTGAGTGACATTCTTTTATAATAACGAATATACGATGGGAATATAACTAGATACTCATCTAAATATAAATCTTCTCAATTACTACCTGAATCTAACTTTGGTTTCCATTTATTGACCAGTCCTAATTTGCTGAGGCTCTTGGGATTTTAGGCCAGGTTGGACCCAAGCTGACTGCCCAAGCCTCCATGGCCAGACATGCCATTGTGGTTACAGTCAGAGATGAAGGCTTTGGAAACAGTATTTAGTGGATAGATACTTAGCTAGTTGTGTTCATCCCATTTAAAGTCATAGTTCAACCTATTAAGGTTTGTTTTCGACACTGCCTTGACTCCTCCCCTTCACCTTATGCTCCTCCCCTGCATCCCCTCCTTTAAAAGAAGTAGAACCTCTTTTAATTAAAATGAATGAAAATGGTGTCCTGAGAACTTCATGAATTGTCACTCAAGGTCATTAATAATCCACTTAATTTCTCTAAATCTTAGAGTATTAGTCAGAGTCAAATTTGTGTTTACTCGTGATGGCACCAGGATAAGTTATCAACCCTGCCACACAGTTGGTTAGAAACACTCGATCAGCAGGAAGTCAGAGTCGCATGTGGGTTTGCTCACTTTTCGGAACACACTTGCTTCCTCTCCATGCCACCCTCCTCAGCTCGGTGTCCTTCAGGCTTCCTAGATCACATGAAAAGAGTAATGTGTGTTCAAGGTTTGGGCTCTGGGAATCATTTAGTCCCAACATCCTAGTGGATCGCCCACTTTAACAAATCCCTTCAAGTCCCACGTGACGTTTTGCTCCTCTTTCTTTTTGGAATGAGTGCCTAATCAAGTAATCATTACTGTAGGTTTGTAGATTTCTTGAAAGTGTTCTATGTTTTGAATGTAGATGAACATTTATGGAGAAACTATGTTTTAAAAATCAGGGAACCCTCAACGACCTGAGAGAAACCACCTCTGCTGAATCCCAATCTGAGAACTTTGAAAATGAGAGCTATTTGCCTGCAGCAAATGAAGGATTGAATTGTCCCAAAGACAAGGATGTTTTATAAAAAGCAGACCTCGTGGAAAGTGATGGGAGATGTAAGCACTTTTAAGATCTCTCCTGATTTCCATTTAGGCCTAATGTTTTTGTTTTATTAAGCCTGGATATATGGGTTTAAATTATTTTCATGACTAAATTAATAGCTGGTTAAATACTTTAAGTTAACTCTCTTCAGAGATTATTTGCTCTAACCTAACCTAAACATATGGTAACTCATCATAGCATTGTGTTCTTTTATTTTTGTTTTGTTTTTTTTTTTTGACTAGGGATAGTTTTTTTTTTTTTTTTTTCTTAAATGAAGAAAGAAAGTAAGAGGCTTGAGCGTCTCTAGAAAAGAACAGTGTAAATGAGAACTCCCTTTGCCAGGATGTTTGTGACGGTGTGAATTTAACTGTTAGATTCTCTATCAATGTCAACATCTGAGAACATTTTTGCTCTCTGGGAACCTTGATAGGACGGCACCGCATCTGTGATCCACTTTACCCAGAGAGGAGTGAAGTGTAGCTACCAAGAATCAAACTAAAGAAAATCAGGATTTTGATGTTGCTGGAATATGTAGAAAAAGGTGGAGTCTAAAAAACTATTTCTCCCGCCAAGACAGTATTGAGGAATCTTGTTATTTTCCATCTCTCTATTTCTCGTTCTCAGTGTGAAGTGAAAGTAAAGTTTTAAAACTTTTTCTCCACTGCAAAGAAAATATATTTCAGAGAATCCGTATCTAGAAAACAAAGCAATTAAGAACTATCTGGCTGTGAGGATCTGGCCCCAGCTCGACTTTTAAGCAA